GAGGTCTTAGGAAGGAAGCGAATATCACTTCTTCACAATACCAGTTTGTGTCAGTTAACAACGTTTTCATTATTTGTTGTGCCTATCAAGATCGGTTGTGTACACGTATGGAATTTCATTCACGAATGGTGAATTGAAACAGCCTGTTAAGAAACCAGTACCATCCTCAGAGTCTTTGTGATGATTGCATCTATTCGTGATTGGCGTGATTGTCTACTGACAAAGTGGATGAGAGATTGAAGACGAAAGAAGACAGAAACGTTTACTGTCTACTGCAGGAGGTGACGTGTGAGTTTGAGAAGGACACGTCAACCTAGTAGTGATTACAAACATGTCTGACAGTAGTCTGACTGTGCAGTGCATCACTGGTTTCTGCTCACACCATGTGGTTGGTTCATTCGAATTCTGGTCTCCACCCAACTGACTTCCACAAATCGGCTGCATTGCAATACACTCAGAGATCAGGTGTCCCGTTATGGACACAGAGAGTTACGCCTACTCGAACCATTTAGAAAGGCACAGTTTCAATTTACTCAGCATGTTCCGAATGTTATTTCACACCTCATCTGTATCCTCATATTCAAGATATCTAAAATTCCCACTCTGATGCCTATTTCTGTTGCATCTGCCTAGTTGACTTTATTTACTGTTTCCATTCATTCATGTCAGCATTCATCGATTGGTTTATGTCAGGTTGTATGGAACATCTTCTCGTCAGTGTATCTCGACTCTCCGTAATATTGTAATATATATTTAGTCAACACATTTTGATAGAACAGCCTTTCATACTGCATTCATATGGATGAAATCACATTTTGACTTGTTTTCAACATGATGAAATTATCTATGTATATGTTGAAAAATATGGACAGAAGTTCATCGTGGGTATTTTCATGTTATCAGGTGTATATTTGTAATTGCCTGTGTGATATTTGTTCGCTCGTGCTCTCACCAGCCGTTTATCTGGTTTTGTCCACGATAACTTTTTTTAAATTAAGTTGGTCTGATGCGTGTGGAAGGACCAAATTTTTCGCTTTATGTTTATACTTATATATATGAAGCTTTATATATCATTTTGTATACCTTTTTAACCAGTTTATGGGTTAAATTTATATACTTATTTAACTTACTTTTTTGACATTCTAGACGTTAACATCCAAGAAATTTAAACATATATTGGTTTAAATTCAAATGAATATATTCAATTTAAGTTACAGTAAAATCATATGATTACGAAGAAATTTCCAATTCGCTCTTTCCTATTGAGGTCATAGGCATACAGCCAATATCACTTCTTCAAAATACCAGTTTGTGTCAGTTAACAACGTTTTCCTTATTTGTTGCACCTATCAAGATCTTTTGTGTACACGTATTGAATTTCATTCACGAATGGTGAATTGAAACAGCCTGTTGAGAAAGCAGTACCATCCTCAGAGTCTTTGTGATGATTGCATCTATTTGTGATTGGCGTGGTTGTCTAGTGACAAGGTGGACGAGAGATTGAAGAGGAAAGAAGTCAGAAACTTTTACCGTCAAAATTTACGCATGATTTTTTTTCAATATGATGAATATATCCATGTATATGCTGAAAAATATGCACAAATATTCATCTAGGGCATTTCGATGTTATGAAGTGTATATTTGTAATTGCCTGATGATGCCTGTTTACACATAATTTCATCAGCATTTTATCAGATGTTAACCGAAATAATTTCGCCAAAATAATTATTCCAGATGCATTCAACAACCCATAACTAAAGCAACATAATGACAACGCCTGAAAATTATTCCTAAAAATTTTGTGTTTATATGATAATGCATGTTATTTGGAAGATAAATGTATACAAATATACTCACCCTGATTCTGGAAACCTAATAAAAAATATTAACGTAAAGAAAGGAGCAATTGAATTGAATATCGCAAAAAAAGAAAACTGAACGTAATAATTATTTAGAAAGCTAACCAATTATATGACAAATAACACATTCTCTGGAAAGTCAAGGGAGAAGAGCGAATAACTCACCCAAAAAATAATAGTTTGTGTCAGATAACAACGTCCTCATTATTTGTTGCGCCTATCAAGATCAGTTGTGCACACGTATTGAATTTCATTCACGAATGGTGAATTGAAACAGCCTGTTAAGAAACCAGTACCATCCTCAGAGTCTTTGTCATGATTGCATCTATTTGTGATTGGCGTGATTGTCTACTGACAAGGTGGACGAGAGATTGAAGACGAAAGAAGACAGAAACGTTTACTGTCTACTGCAGGAGGTGACGTGTGAGTTTGAGAAGGACACGTCAACCTAGTAGTGATTACAAACATGTCTGACAGTAGTCTGACTGTGCAGTGCATCACTGGTTTCTGCTCACACCATGTGGTTGGTTCATTCGAATTCTGGTCTCCACCCAACTGGCTTCCACAAATCGGCTGCATTGCAATACACTCAGAGATCAGGTGTCCCGTTATGGACACAGAGAGTTACGCCTACTCGAACCATTTAGAAAGGCACAGTTTCAATTTACTCAGCATGTTCCGAATGTTATTTCACACCTCATCTGTATCCTCATATTCAAGATATCTAAAATTCCCACTCTGATGCCTATTTCTGTTGCATCTGCCTAGTTGACTTTATTTACTGTTTCCATTCATTCATGTCAGCATTCATCGATTGGTTTATGTCAGGTTGTATGGAACATCTTCTCGTCAGTGTATCTCGACTCTCCGTAACATTGTAATATATATTTAGTCAACACATTTTGATAGAACAGACTTTGATACTACATTCATATGGATGAAATCACATTTTGACTTGTTTTCAACATGATGAAATTATCTATGTATATGTTGAAAAATGTGGACAGAAGTTCATCGTGGGTATTTTCATGTTATCAGGTGTATATTTGTAATTGCCTGTGTGATATTTGTTCGATCATGCTCTCACCAGCAGTTCATCAGATATCATCTAAATTATCTTTGTTTAAATGTATTATTTGGATGTGTATACAGCCCGTGTGGCAGGCACTTTAGGGTGTTCTGCTATGGTCTCTTCATTTTTGAATATCTCCCGAGGATGCTATGTAGCATATATTTAATTATAATTATTATTGAAAAAATTTAATTACTTTCTTGACAGCCTGTATGTTATACATAACAGAATGAAGGAAAAAATAAAAAGGCATTATATCGGAAAATATACGTGAGATGTTTATATCACATAGAGGTTAACGAAGAGATAAGCAGTTCAATCTTTCACTGTGAGGTCTTAGGAAGGAAGCGAATATCACTTCTTCACAATACCAGTTTGTGTCAGTTAAGAACGTTTTCATTATTTGTTGCGCCTATCAACATCGGTTGTGTACACGAATTGAATTTTATTCACGAATGGTGAATTGAAACAGCCTGTTGAGAAAGCAGTACCATCCTCAGAGTCTTTGTGATGATTGCATCTATTCGTGATTGGCGTGATTGTCTACTGACAAGGTGGATGAGAGATTGAAGACGAAAGAAGACAGAAACAATTACTGTCTACTGCAGGAGGTGACGTGTGAGTTTGAGAAGGACACGTCAACCTAGTAGTGATTACAAACATGTCTGACAGTAGTCTGACTGTGCAGTGCATCACTGGTTTCTGCTCACACCATGTGGTTGGTTCATTCGAATTCTGGTCTCCACCCAACTGACTTCCACAAATCGGCTGCATTGCAATACACTCAGAGATCAGGTGTCCCGTTATGGACACAGAGAGTTACGCCTACTCGAACCATTTAGAAAGGCACAGTTTCAATTTACTCAGCATGTTCCGAATGTTATTTCACACCTCATCTGTATCCTCATATTCAAGATATCTAAAATTCCCACTCTGATGCCTATTTCTGTTGCATCTGCCTAGTTGACTTTATTTACTGTTTCCATTCATTCATGTCAGCATTCATCGATTGGTTTATGTCAGGTTGTATGGAACATCTTCTCGTCAGTGTATCTCGACTCTCCGTAACATTGTAATATATATTTAGTCAACACATTTTGATAGAACAGCCTTTCATACTGCATTCATATGGATGAAATCACATTTTGACTTATTTTCAACATGATGAAATTATCAATGTATATGTTGAAAAATGTGGACAGAAGTTCATCGTGGGTATTTTCATGTTATCAGGTGTATATTTGTATTTGCCTTTGTGTTTTGATGTTTTCTCATACTCTCACCTGCATTTCATGTGATAGTTTGCCTGTTACTTTTTGAAAATACCTATTTCGTATACGTGTTTTTAGATTATATATAAAGAAATCTGGGGTTCAATGCATAATATGATATTTGATAGAATATAATGGAAAATCAAAATACAACCCATTATAAGATAAATACTTTCAAATATGAATAGTCACCTTTTGAACAGGCTGCGTTTGAAGAAATTTTGAATAAGGAGAAAAAGAAATACACAGCAACAATGCATAAGAAATTAACTGATTCAAAGATGTTGAAGAAAAATCCATTTATTTATTTCCCTGTGACTTTATATGCATACAGACAATATCACTTCTTCACAATACTTGTTTGTGTCTGTGTAAAACTTTTCCATTATTTGTTGTGACTATCTAGATCGGTTGTGCACACGTATTGAATTTCATTCACGAATGGTGAATTGAATCAGCCTGTTGAGAAACCAGTACCATCACATTTTGACTTATTTTCAATATGATGAAATTATCAATGTACATGTTGCAAAATGTGCACAGAAGTTCATCGTGGGTATTTTCATTTTATCAGCTGTATATTTGTAGTTTCCTGGTGATATTTGTTTACTCAGAATATCACCAGCAGTTTGTCGGTTTTTATCCACATAACTTTTTTGAATATAAATAAGTTGGATCCTCGTTCAAAGACAATTTTTAGGGCTCCACTTCAGGAATCATCACATTTTCTTTATTGTATTTGCTCTTTTCCATAATATACGAAGTCTTGCTTTAAGGAGCACAAAATCTGCAACTCACCACAATACATTTCTGAACATTAAGCACAAAGGATCAAAGATTTTCAAAAATGAAATATATGTAAAAATTCACGAAAACTAAACATCATTGGAAAGCTAAATAAGAAACTGCCAGATTATTCATACTCTGTAACATCGAAGGCATACAGCCAATATCACTTCTTCACAATACTAGTTTGTGTCAGTTAACAACGTTCTCATTATTTGTTGCGCCTATCAAGATCGGTTGTGTACACGTATTGAATTTCATTCACGAATGGTGAATTGAAACAGCCTGTTGAGAAAGCAGTACCATCCTCAGAGTCTTTGTGATGATTGCATCTATTTGTGATTGGCGTGATTGTCTACTGACAAGGTGGACGAGAGATTGAAGACGAAAGAAGTCAGAAACTTCTACCGTCAAATTTTACGCATGATTTTTTTTTTCAATATGATGAAATTATCCATGTATATGTTGAAAAGGTGCACAGTATTTCATCCTGCGTATTTTCATTTTATGAGTTATATATTTGTAATTGCCTGGTGATATTTGAATGCTGATATTGTCACATGAATTTTATCGCATGATTTCAAGTATATATGATTTAATAATATATAATTTGGATGAATGTAAAATCCAATATGGAGGCTTATATTGTCATTTACTGTTCATGAAAGAAAACAGTATAAATTAATTGCATTATAATGAAATTAGGAAGTACTCTGAAAAAAATAATTACTGAAGTAAACTTGATCGTAATCTTAATGAAATAAAATAAAATATAAAATGAATTGAATGATACAAGCAAAATTTAATTGAAACAGGAAATCATATCCAAGGGAACAAAGTAATTGCAGATAATTCTTTACATGTGAGGTCATAGGCAGACAGTGAATATCAATCCTTCACAATACTAGTTTGTGTCAGTTAACAACGTTCTCATTATTTGTTGCGCCTATCAAGATCGGTTGTGTACACGTATTGAATTTCATTCACGAATGGTGAATTGAAACAGCCTGTTGAGAAACCAGTACCATCCTCAGAGTCTTTGTGATGATTGCATCTATTTGTGATTGGCGTGATTGTCTACTGACAAGGTGGACGAGAGATTGAAGACGAAAGAAGACAGAAACGTTTACTGTCTACTGCAGGAGGTGACGTGTGAGTTTGAGAAGGACACGTCAACCTGGTAGTGATTACAAACATGTCTGACAGTAGTCTGACTGTGCAGTGCATCACTGGATTCTGCTCACACCATGTGGTTGGTTCATTCGAATTCTGGTCTCCACCCAACTGACTTCCACAAATCGGCTGCATTGCAATACACTCAGAGATCAGGTGTCCCGTTATGGACACAGAGAGTTACGCCTACTCGAACCATTTAGAAAGGCACAGTTTCAATTTACTCAGCATGTTCCGAATGTTATTTCACACCTCATCTGTATCCTCATATTCAAGATATCTAAAATTCCCACTCTGATGCCTATTTCTGTTGCATCTGCCTAGTTGACTTTATTTACTGTTTCCATTCATTCATGTCAGCATTCATCGATTGGTTTATGTCAAGTTGTATGGAACATCTTCTCGTCAGTGTATCTCGACTCTCCGTAATATTGTAATATATATTTAGTCAACACATTTTGATAGAACAGCCTTTCATACTGCATTCATATGGATGAAATCACATTTTGACTTGTTTTCAATATGATGAAATTATCTATATGTGTGGTAGAAAATGTGGACACAGGTTCATCCTTGATATTTTCATGTTATCAGGTGTATATTTGTAATTGCCTGTGTGATATTTGTTTACGTATAGTGTCATCAGCAATTCTTCAGATTTTCTTCCAGATAAACTTTTTTTAAAATAATAATTCGGATGCATGTGCACACACCATGTTTGAGGTTATCTTGTTTTAAATAATATTAACGCAATTTGCCACTTATATATCGAAAATTGCATTGAATCATCAACATATAAACGTGAATGAGTAATAAATTTACATTTGTTGCAGGCTAAAATGGATCCATTAATTGACAAAAACAGCAAACATAAAGTTATATTCGGAAATAGAATTCAGTAAACGATAATATCACCTCCACGTAAATGAAGAAAAAGAAAGTTCATTCATTATCAGTCAGGTCACAGCAATACAGCGAATATCACTTCTTCACAATACTAGTTTGTGTCAGTTAACAACGTTTTCATTATTTGTTGTGCCTATCAAGATCGGTTGTGTACACGTATTGAATTTCATTCACGAATGGTGAATTGAAACAGCCTGTTGAGAAACCAGTACCATCCTCAAAGTCTTTGTGATGATTGCATCTATTCGTGATTGGCGTGATTGTCTACTGACAAGGTGGACGAGAGATTGAAGACGAAAGAAGACAGAAACGTTTACTGTCTACTGCAGGAGGTGACGTGTGAGTTTGAGAAGGACACGTCAACCTAGTAGTGATTACAAACATGTCTGACAGTAGTCTGACTGTGCAGTGCATCACTGGATTCTGCTCACACCATGTGGTTGGTTCATTCGAATTCTGGTCTCCACCCAACTGACTTCCACAAATCGGCTGCATTGCAATACACTCAGAGATCAGGTGTCCCGTTATGGACACAGAGAGTTACGCCTACTCGAACCATTTAGAAAGGCACAGTTTCAATTTACTCAGCATGTTCCGAATGTTATTTCACACCTCATCTGTATCCTCATATTCAAGATATCTAAAATTCCCACTCTGATGCCTATTTCTGTTGCATCTGCCTAGTTGACTTTATTTACTGTTTCCATTCATTCATGTCAGCATTCATCGATTGGTTTATGTCAGGTTGTATGGAACATCTTCTCGTCAGTGTATCTCGACTCTCCGTAATATTGTAATATATATTTAGTCAACACATTTTGACAGAACAGCCTTTCATACTGCATTCATATGGATGAAATCACATTTTGACTAATTTTCAATATTTCTTACATTTGTTCCCCTAATGAATTTGAACAAAACAACAACTATATATTTAGCAGGATAAAATTGTACCTAGTTTTATTTCGTCGCCTTCTCTTCAGCTACTTCCAGGCCAGAAACTGTATTATATTTATCTACAATAACAATTTAACTTACTCACACAGAGTTCATTTTAATCAGACATCAATCGATCAATAAACACATACACTTATAATATGTACATGTATATATATATATATGTATGCAATATTGAACACAATTCCGAGCAATAATAATCATCCAAAATGAAAACTTTCCAGTATCTCGCATTAGGATGAAAAATATCCAGTTACCAGGGCAAAGAAAGACTGATAACTGCTTCTTTCTGAACGCACAAATCAGGTTTTAGGCGCTTGATGGAAAAGGCCTCAGCAAACTTAAGGAGCATTGAACTCTTTTGCTTATTGATAATTTTGAATGACTTTTCCACGTCCACCTTATGACCCGTGTCAAGAAGATGCCTGGCGATGGCACTGCCTAGTGTGCAAAATTGATCGTCATGCTTCACACCTACTAAGATTATTCAGTGATGCAGACGACAATATCATGTTCACTGTGGAACATGAAACTGATGGTAAGTTTTACTTCCTCGACATCGCCATGGAACCCCTAGGAGACGGTACTCTTCAAAAGTCAATTTATTGTAAGTCCACATGGAAAGGACAATACTTGCATTTTAATAGCTTTTGTCCAAATAGCTATAAACGAGCACTGGTCAAGACTCTGTACTATAGAGCGAGAATAATATGCTCTACAGCGAAATTGGAGGAAGAATTTGAGTTTCTTGAAAAGACATTGAAGAGCAATGGTTACCCTCAAAGGTTCATCAACAAGTATGGAAGATCTGCAGTCGCAAATGAAAAACGAATCACAGTAAGAAAAAATCTAGTCTACTTTGAGCTTGATTATAAAGGCGAAAGTATTGCAGCGATGATCAACAGAAGGCTGAGTACATCACTAGCCATAGCCTATCCTGCAGCTTAGCTCGTTCCCGTCTTTCGAACAACTTGCTCTCTGGTGCAATCAGAAATCGATAGATATCCTTCTCATGTTAACATCCAACTGTATATACAAATTTACATGTATCTGCGGGAGCAGTTACATTGGAAGAACAGAAAGAAGAGCATATCTACTATTTTCTGAACATGTACCAAAAAGCTAACGTCTAAAGGGAACAAATGCTTTGGGCAGTGCCATCGCCAGGCATCTTCTTGACACGGGTCATAAGGTGGACGTGGAAAAGTCATTCAAAATTATCAATAAGCAAAAGAGTTCAATGCTCCTTAAGTTTGCTGAGGCCTTTTCCATCAAGCGCCTAAAACCTGATTTGTGCGTTCAGAAAGAAGCAGTTATCAGTCTTTCTTTGCCCTGGTAACTGGATATTTTTCATCCTAATGCGAGATACTGGAAAGTTTTCATTTTGGATGATTATTATTGCTCGGAATTGTGTTCAATATTGCATACATATATATATATATACATGTACATATTATAAGTGTATGTGTTTATTGATCGATTGATGTCTGATTAAAATGAACTCTGTGTGAGTAAGTTAAATTGTTATTGTAGATAAATATAATACAGTTTCTGGCCTGGAAGTAGCTGAAGAGAAGGCGACGAAATAAAACATGGTACAATTTTATTCTGCTAAATCTATAGTTGTTGCTTTATTTTCACTATGATGAAATTATCTATGTAGGTGTTAAAAAATGTGGACAGAAGTTCATCCTGGGTATTTTCATGTTATCAGGTGTATATTTGTAATTGCCCGGTGATACTTGTTCACTTATAGTCTCAACTGGATTTTATCGGATGTTTTCCACAAAAACGTCGTTGAATGCAAATAATTCGGGTGTATGTTCATACACCATGATGCAGGCTCTACAATATCAATTATTTGTAATTATTTGCGAAAATTAATGGTATATTTTCAACGAGAAATATTTACTTACTTAACTTCACAACAATTATAAAAATACACTTACGATATTCACAGCGTTCTTCTGTAGCAATGAATGATACAAGAAAAAGATTTAGAATTGAAATAAAAACACAAATTCAAGAAAAGATAAAATCATTCGCAAGATAACGAGGAAATTGCCAGGTAACATTTTCACTGTGAGTGCATAGGCATTCAGCCAATATCACTTCTTCACAATACTAGTTTGTGTCAGTTAACAACGTTCTCATTATTTGTTGCGCCTATCAAGATCGGTTGTGTACACGTATTGAATTTCATTCACGAATGGTGAATTGAAACAGCCTGTTGAGAAAGCAGTACCATCCTCAGAGTCTTTGTGATGATTGCATCTATTCGTGATTGGCGTGATTGTCTACTGACAAGGTGGACGAGAGATTGAAGATGAAAGAAGACAGAAACGTTTACTGTCTACTGCAGGAGGTGACGTGTGAGTTTGAGAAGGACACGTCAACCTAGTAGTGATTACAAACATGTCTGACAGTAGTCTGACTGTGCAGTGCATCACTGGATTCTGCTCACACCATGTGGTTGGTTCATTCGAATTCTGGTCTCCACCCAACTGACTTCCACAAATCGGCTGCATTGCAATACACTCAGAGATCAGGTGTCCCGTTATGGACACAGAGAGTTACGCCTACTCGAACCATTTAGAAAGGCACAGTTTCAATTTACTCAGCATGTTCCGAATGTTATTTCACACCTCATCTGTATCCTCATATTCAAGATATCTAAAATTCCCACTCTGATGCCTATTTCTGTTGCATCTGCCTAGTTGACTTTATTTACTGTTTCCATTCATTCATGTCAGCATTCATCGATTGGTTTATGTCAGGTTGTATGGAACATCTTCTCGTCAGTGTATCTCGACTCTCCGTAATATTGTAATATATATTTAGTCAACACATTTTGACAGAACAGCCTTTCATACTGCATTCATATGGATGAAATCACATTTTGACTTATCATCAATATGATGAAATTATCAATGTATATGTTGAAAAATATGGACAGAAGTTCATCGTGGGTATTTTCATGTTATCAGGTGTATATTTGTAATTTCCTGGTGATACTTGTTTCCTCATACTCTCACGAGAAGTTTATCGGAATTTCTTCAAAATAACTTTGTTTAATGTAAATTTTTCGGTTTAATGATCACACAGCATAGGGCAGTTTACATAGTGTCATATGCAGGGAATAAAACATCGTTGGATATATATTTAAATCTTATTGCAGGATAATTAAACAGGAATTATGAATTTCATTTCTTCACCTTTTTCGCAGCCACCTATTGATAAAAGTTTCAACAAAATGAGAGGGTTACATATGCAAAAATATTTTTATTAATTTTATCAAATGTTGAAAATATATACAATTCTACGTGGAACAAGCTTTCTTATTCTTTCTCCCCATCGACATACGCATACAGCAAATATCAATTCTTCCCGATAATACATTGTGCCAGTGCACAACGTTTTCATTGTGTTGTGCCTATCAAGATCTGTTGTGTACACGTATTGAATTTCATTCACGAATGGTGAATTGAATCAGCCTGTTGAGAAACCAGTAATATCCTCAGAGTTTTGTGATGATTGCATCTATTTGTGATAGGCTTGACTGTCTTCTCGTCAGTGTATCTCGACTCTCCGTAATATTGTAATATATATTTAGTCAACACATTTTGATAGAACTGCCTTTCATACTACATTCATATGGATGAAATCACATTTTGACTTATTTTCAAAATGATGAAATTATCAATGTATATGTTGAAAAATGTGGACAGAAGTTCATCGTGGGTATTTTCATGTTATCAGGTGTATATTTGTAATTTCCTGGTGATACTTGTTTACTCATACCCTCAGTATTAGTGTGTCTGATATTACCCAGAATAACTTTGTTGAAAATATTTCGGATGCATGTGAAATTATTTGTGATATTCTCTATATATTTTATTTCTAGTCAGTCTACTTCTCAGAAAATATATCTTTACCACACATTGGCATAAACCGAAATTAAAATTTATACCAATAAACTTACCATGTATACAGACTTCGTGATATTCAGTGAAATATAAAGCATATGAAATTGATTAAAATTATAAAACAATACATTAGAAGATAGAATCATTTTGCAGGCTAACGAAGAACATGCCAGTTCATTCATTCTCTGTGAGGTCATAGGCATTCAGCCAATATCACTTCTTCACAATACTAGTTTGTGTCAGTTAACAACGTTCTCATTATTTGTTGCGCCTATCAAGATCGGTTGTGCACACGTATTGAATTTCATTCACGAATGGTGAATTGAAACAGCCTGTTGAGAAAGCAGTACCATCCTCAGAGTCTTTGTGATGATTGCATCTATTCGTGATTGGCGTGATTGTCTACTGACAAGGTGGACGAGAGATTGAAGACGAAAGAAGACAGAAACGTTTACTGTCTACTGCAGGAGGTGACGTGTGAGTTTGAGAAGGACACGTCAACCTAGTGGTGATTACAAACATGTCTGACAGTAGTCTGACTGTGCAGTGCATCACTGGATTCTGCTCACACCATGTGGTTGGTTCATTCGAATTCTGGTCTCCACCCAACTGACTTCCACAAATCGGCTGCATTGCAATACACTCAGAGATCAGGTGTCCCGTTATGGACACAGAGAGTTACGCCTACTCGAACCATTTAGAAAGGCACAGTTTCAATTTACTCAGCATGTTCCGAATGTTATTTCACACCTCATCTGTATCCTCATATTCAAGATATCTAAAATTCCCACTCTGATGCCTATTTCTGTTGCATCTGCCTAGTTGACTTTATTTACTGTTTCCATTCATTCATGTCAGCATTCATCGATTGGTTTATGTCAGGTTGTATGGAACATCTTCTCGTCAGTGTATCTCGACTCTCCGTAACATTGTAATATATATTTAGTCAACACATTTTGATAGAACAGCCTTTCATACTGCATTCATATGGATGAAATCACATTTTGACTTGTTTTCAATATGATGAATTAATCTATGTATGTGTTAGATAATGTGGACAGAAGTTTATCCTGGGTATTTTTATTTTTGCTCATACTCTCATCTGCAGTTTATCGGATGTCCTACACATTAAATTTGTTTAAATAAGTAATTCGGATTCATGTACACACACCATGTTTCCGTCACTATGGTGCGAATTACTGATTTTGCATTTTGCAATTAACTTTCATGAAATATATATGAATCATTATGAAATCTGTTAATTTCACATAAATATATGTTCACCTGATGGGCAGTCTTCGTGTTATGCATTGAAAAAAAAGATATCATTGAACTGAATTATATTGGAATTAATTCATTCTATTCAAAAACAGTTCGCAAGCAAACTAAGAACTTGCCAGTTCATTCTTTCTCTGTGAGGACATAGGCATACAGCGAATATCACTTCTTCACATTACTAGTTAGTGTCAGTTAACAACGTTTCCATTATTTGTTGTGCCTATCAAGATCGGTTGTGTACACGTATGGAATTTCATTCACGAATGGTGAATTGAAACAGCCTGTTGAGAAAGCAGTACCATCCTCAGAGTCTTTGTGATGATTGCATCTATTTGTGATTGGCGTGATTGTCTACTGACAAGGTGGACGAGAGATTGAAGATGAAAGAAGACAGAATCTTTGACTGTCGATTTTCACTCTTGACTTAATTTCAATATGATGAAATTATCTATTTATATATTTAAAAATGTGCACAGACGTTCATACTGGGTATTTTCTATTTGTCAGCTGTATGTTTGTTTTTTCCTGGTGATACTTGTTTACTGACACTTCTACCAGCAGTTTATGGGGTTTTATTCACAATAACTTTGTGAAAATTAAGTAGTTCGTATCCATGTTGACACAAGGTGTTGAAGGTTTATTGTGGTAACTTCTTATGATGTTACTTTTCAGAAAATTGTCTGATGACAGTATTTAGCGTAAATAAAACTTGAATTCTTTTATCACTATACACTTACATTTAGAGCAAATTTCGTCTTCTTCATTGTTAAGTTTAAGCAAATTCAGTTAAATTCAATAATATAAGCACAAATACATGAGAAGTTAAATCATTTGCAAGCTAACGAAAACCTTGTCAGTTCATTCATTCTCTGTGAGGTCATAGGCATTCAGCCAATATCACTTCTTCACAATACTAGTTTGTGTCAGTGCACAACGTTTTCATTATTTGTTGTGCCTATCAAGATCGGTTGTGTACACGTATTGAATTTCATTCACGAATGGTGAATTGAAACAGCCTGTTGAGAAAGCAGTACCATCCTCAGAGTCTTTGTGATGATTGCATCTATTCGTGATTGGTGTGATTGTCTACTGACAAGGTGGACGAGAGATTGAAGAGGAAAGAAGACAGAAACTTTTACTGTCGACTTTTACTGTTGCGTTATTTTCATTTGATGAAATTATCTGTGTATATGTTGAAAAATGTTAACAGAATTTCATCCTTGTTATTTTCATGTTATCAGCTGTGTATATTTGTAATTGCCTTGTGATACTTGTTTACTCATACTCTCACGAGCAATTTTTCGGTTTTTATTCTCATTGAGTTTGTTAATAGTAAATTATTGAGTTCAATGTTTGGATAGCATGCTTTTTGCTCTACATGGTCAACGTTTTGTTATGCTGCTCTTTACCAAATTTTTTTCATAATACTCTTATTTAAATCTTCTGAATTTTTATTAAATATTTTACTTACTCCAATGTTTTTCGGTTCCAGCTTTTCAATGAAATTTTATTGAAGTTTTAATATATTTTAAAATTCATGAAATGGTTTATTCAGTAATCAGCTGTCAATATATTTACGAATTAAGACTATCTTTGATGACATAGGCATTCAGCCAATATCACTTCTTCACAATACTAGTTTTTGTCAGTGCACAACGTTTTCATTATTTGTTGTGCCTATCAAGATCGGTTGTGCACACGTATTGAATTTCATTCACGAATGGTGAATTGAAACAGTCTGTTCAGAAACCAATGCCACTTCAAGTGTCTTCCAATTGTGCCATCGGTGTTTTTTATCGTGGTTTTGTACTTATATTTTGGATCGTTTTTAATGACTTCATTCTTATGTGTGACTTTTTTTCAGTTTTTGTTTTTATTGTTAGTGTAGTCTTCGTATATGACTTTTGTGTTTCTTACATGTTTATGTGAAATTGGCTCAGAGCTTTTTCTTCTCATTCTCTTCAGATGTTTTATCATTTCACTAATTATATATATGAGTTAATTCTGTATTTCTTCGCCCAATATTTTCCCTTGTTTATTCGTTTTTGCTTGTAAATTTAATATCCTGCTTAGTGATTATTCAATCTCCCATGGTACATCCATTTTTTTCTGTGAAAATCTTTGATTTGGTCAACTGGATAATATGTCACATAGCATTTATGTGCATTAGAGATTTTCAAAAGGCTTTGGAATTTCATCTCTCAAATAATTGCAAGAATGTTTCTATTTTATTCTATGTAGATTCGTGTCTTTATAGTAACAAAATTAAGTTAAGATTTTCAATTTATTGAGGGCAGTTCTGTTATTCTAATAACTAATATTTCTGCTTAAGTTGACTATCTGCCCAGCTTTATGTGAGGTTTGTGCACATTTCATGTATGCGATGGGTTGAACATCTGGTAATACATTTCATACTTTTCGTTTAAATGCGTAAATTTACAGCTGCATTTGATTAGAGAGGGGCGGATAAAAACAGGTGTGATATTCTCTATTGTCTTTTGTTCAGATTTGGAGGATACCTAATTTCAGTAATGATGCTTTTTACTAAAAGTGTTTTGGTCATTCAACCTATACCGTGTGGTAGTCTTTAGTTTACTGTTGCATCGCTATGCTTAAGCTGAATGTCTGCAGTTTAGCGTTTGGTTTGACTAAATGTTAATACTAATAAAGTCCGTAGTGACCATAAATCTACCCATGTCATTAGCAAATCAGTTATATCCCTAAGGCCAAACGTTTACAGCCATAAATAATTTGCTGGAATGAAATTCACTACAAATCTGCATTAAAAGGTTTAACATTATCATGGAAATATGTAGGGTTGTTCTCATTGATTTCTTACTAAATCAAATATTAGTGGGACTAAAATCACACTAGCATAAACAGTGTTATTTGTGCACTCGAGAATAACACCTTCACCTAATTAGAGTGTTAGATTAATAATAATATTAATCATTTTATTCCACAACAATAACAATTTACAGAATGGTGTCCAAGCAATGATTTAGACGGTTTCGATTGTATTTTTCCTCCTCTTCACAATTTTAGTGGTTATACTTATTAAAACATTACAGTGTTTAATGGAGAATATATTGTTTAATGTGAAAATTATTTAATCAATCTCTGAGCAATCCATATTTTTATAAATATGTCTGTGAGGTTTCGATTATTCAGCGGAATATTATAAGTTTGTCTTGAATTGATCCATCTAGGTATTCCAAATATCTACGATGTCTGCTGTTGTCATAATCAACAAGTGTCATAAAATTGATCAGAAACACATTTGTCTAAACTCAAATTACACAGCTCAATATAACCAGTTTAAATCAGTTTAACTTTGATATCATTGTGGTTTCAGTAAAGTGATAATGAATTTTAAAAAGTAACATGCCAATGAGACAAAACTGCTTTGAATATGTCAAATTCTACTTGAAACAATAATAATCACATAAAATTGTACTTACAGGCTTCACTTGGGTTGATGAATATTGTGAACGCGTGAACGAACAACAACAGCGCACAGAACTTCATCATCATCTTCTTTTCCGAGAACGTGTGAGCAAATAAAAACAAGTCTTTATATAGTCTTTTACTATTTGCCACGTGTAAGACCATAAAGATTTCTAAAAATAATTCAAGTTATCACCTCATTTCTTTTTGAAAGAATGTGGCGTGATAATAATTACAAACGTGATCATATATCTGTTCATGGTGTACTTTGTTGGCAAGGTCACCGAAATCAAAGAACACTAACTTAACAAAGAATAGATGAGGTGGTTCCATTTAATGTACATACGGAATGTTACATAATTATAGAACGGCATATAGATTATTTTCGATGATTTGCACAACATGAAATATCACTCTCAACACGGAAACGCTGAAGCGTAATGGATTCGTTAATGAATAGTTAAGCAGCACATCGATTTCTCAAATGATCTATAGAATGGATACAATTATAAGGTTTGCAATTTGAAACATTCAGGGTTTTATTTGGACAAGGTTCTTCTCTTTTACACAGACATTAGAGCACTTTATCAATGCCTGAATATATTGTCGTGAATAACTATTAAGTTGTACGTCTGATTTCTCATCGAAAGCAAACAAAATAAGACGTAATAACTTCGTTAATTGCCATTCACCAAGAAAACTATTTACAAATCTCATTTAATTGAGAGTTTATTCAGATAAATCACCTCTTAACACAAAGTTTCTGGTAAGGAAATTCACTAGAAATTTCAAAATATATTTCCTTATCAATTTTCGCAAAAGAGATCCTCAAGGATAGGCGAACAATTACGTCAAATATGAGTAGTTCAGAAACAGATGTAAACCATCAATTACACTGACCAGTTGTCATTCTCTTGCATCATTTGTAAAAAAAGTCTAGACATAATAGATGACCTGCATATACACGTTCAGTGCATGAACGTGTAAAATACATAATGATTCAGTAGTTTTACCGTCGAATAATCGTCCCGCTGATGCCTGCCAATGAATCAATCATATCTGGCTAACTAAAGCGACCTGCTTATGAGAGACAGATATTTACTGCTACTTCAAAATGTCTGACCAAGCTCAAACAAACCTAAATAACAATGATTTTTGTGACAAAAGTGAATCGACAAAATTTTTTTAAGACATAAGTATAAAACGTCTGCACTGTGATGGAGCATAACTCCAATATGAATAAGATTTTATTTTGATAATCACACTGTAAATGGACGTGAACATTGAACGTTTGTTTTATTGGAACTGGCAACCATTGGTGGCCAATTGAAGGCGCGAATGGAATGATCGCTTGCAAAATGGAAGAAAGTGGAAAAAACACGAATAAAAATACCTTATAACTTTATTTTTACTTAACATTTGTTTGCAGACTTTGTATTTTGTCTCGCTTTAATTGCCAAACAATATAATTTCGTTCAAGGAATACTGGTGTTTTGGATTTAAAGTTGAGATAGATACATAGTATTTATCGGTTCAGAACGAAAACGTCTTCACTAGACCGGGAACTTAGGGCTAAGTTCCTTGACACACACAGTGTTGTACAGTAATATTAACTGATGACGTTTCGAGCACAAACTATTGCTCATAAACATATCAAGTTACTCACACATTTTTTTCCTTCATTTATATACATGTGTGGAATTGACTAGACTTTTGGAAAAAAATTCAATATGAGATAATGTACATTCAGAAATAATAATACGACTGTTATTGATCAATTACAATTAGATGGGAAGTAAAACGAGTGTTTCTATCGTCATAATAAGTTACTTCTTAGAATGTTGTGATGTGTTTTAATTAAAATTGAATATTAAGAATATTTATTATTTTCTTCTGATTTGACTGGTGGTAATAATATCTTAGATATTCCTGGTATTTTTATTGAGTCATTTCTGTTGCATGAGTTGGGTGTAGATTCAATGAACCAGGATTCAGCAATCAATCTCTATCTCCACCTACATAGATTACTTCTTAGAATCTTAACCCTCTCCCACCTTATTGTGTGGTTGTGTGCTATTGCATGTAGTGCAATTGTTGAGCTTTCTTCTAAATTACTTATCTTTTCAAGGTCAACCATTCTTCCCTTAGCTAAATTCTTATGTTCTGATAATCTGACCACCCCCGACCTACTAGTGTGACCTATGTAATTGAATTTACAGTCATTTCAGGGTATATTGTAAATTATATTATTTTGTCTAATTGGGTCAACTGGGTGCTTTAACTTACAAAGCTTGTCCCTGAGTGAGTTTGTAAGTTTGAATGCCACCTTATTCCTGCTTTATTATTATTATTATTAGGCTGGCATTCAAACTTACAAATCTTATCCATAATGGACTTATTCTGAGACTTCAGACACTCAGATTATTTATTCGGCATAAACTTACCTCTTAGACTTATTACATAAACAACAACTGTTAATCCCTAAGATGATTCCGATGACTGAAATATTAGACTACCGATTATATCAACTGTTCATGCAATGATCATAGCAAATGGTGTTTATTCACGAAAGTAGAACTGAAAGGCTCAAGCATACAAAGGCATTGATTTCTCGATTAATAAATGAGACAGCAAGCTCAGTAAATATTGGCGGTATAATTCTCCGGGCAAAACAAATTTTCACACAAAAAGATGAAGAAAAATTATTCAATATGCGTGCAAGATATTTGAGATTACAAATAATTGCAGATTGAAGTTGCCTTAAGTAAGATAGATTTCAAAATTTCCTGCAAGATGGCAAGTTTAGAAAAGACAAACTACGCATGCTCACTGAGTGAAAGTGCGAAAGTGAAAGTCGTGCTGGATGAACGTCCAGCATTATACGAGAAGAAGTGACTAGTTTCGATTCGATTCACCTAGATATACAACTGACATTCACGTATATAGAAAGAAATGTTAAGATGAGTCAGTCAGCAAATGCCCTCGTCTGGTTATGCTAGTCATCAACAACCCTGTAAAGAAGCAGGTTCATTTTTCGAATGACACCAAGGTTGGTGAATGTCGAAATAAGTGTGTTTGAAAGAAAGCTGTGCAATGAGATCAATAAGTCAAGTGTTACTGACTGTATTTATGTCCTGTGTTGTATGTACAGTGGATGTGTCATCTACATGTATCAACCATACCTTTTAGGTGGGGCTGGACGTTTCAATCGCCAAGTTTCCCCACGTATCCATAAATATATCTGCCACGATCAAAAATATTGATGGTTCCATGGAAACTCCCTCAGTTTGTTTGTATATTTTTCCTTGTAATATAAATATTGTGGAAGTCAGACATTGCTGCACTCCCAGCACTATATACTTCAGTGGGACGTCTGTTCTTACTTCAAGTTGACGGTTAGAAATGATTTCGTCTTTGACCGACCCCATAGCCGTATTTATTGGTATGTATATGTATATATATATATATATAATTGCGACCACACAGCTGAGTGAATGAATTAGCCGAAAATAGACTCTTCACAGAATTGCAATTATCTGTTTGATGTTAGGTGTTGGTACAATGCAGGAGGGACGTTTCCTCCTTCACGGGAATATCATGAACAATTTCAAGAAGCAAAATATGGTTATGAATAGCCGAGTTATCTCAGGATTTCATACAAGCAAGTAATGATTATTAACTGCTTGGTTGTGAACATACTCCTGATTCGCTCAGTTGCGGCCTCTCTCTACATCTATATTATTTCGTTGTGTTCTCAACTCTGCTGAAAACAATAGAACATCATGTTCACTTAATTTTTCTGGTGGAATGCACATCACGTTTTGTGCCTATTTCTGGTACCCTGAATGCCTTTTTACTTTTGTTGTGTCCTGAATAACCTTAGATGGTGGTTCAGCTCTGGTGGAACTTAACGATTGCACATTCATACGCATATTCTCAGAATAACATGACGCTAAGTAGACGGCACTATATTGAACAGGCACAAAACGAAGAAGGCTTTAACTGTACGTGATATTGCCAGCCTATTATTAATAGGAATGGCTTATGTGTCTAAACTAGTAATCGTGACTGTTGAGGATTATTTCTGTTAATAAAAGGAGACCAAAGATCAAATCTCTTGATCTCTAGATTACACCAATCATGCTGGTGTGTATGTGAATGACTAGTCGTGCTGCGCGCAGAAATCTGTCTAAATTGGTTTCCAGTCAAGACCACAACAATAGCACAGTGGTTAGTACTCTCGCCGACATGCACATGGTCCGGGGTTCGATCCCCTGCCGGCGCACACCCGATATCTATGGTATGCCTGAATTTGGGCAACCGATATCCATGCTGAAAATTCCATACTTGTACTGAAAATACGGTGTGGAATCAAGCTGTCAATCAAAAAAAAAAATAATAATAATAGAAAGAATATAATTTCATCAAAACAACATCAACTACGTCTGTGCGAACATTATTCCGACTCAGGATATAACAACTGTCCCCCTATGACTGAAACACTTTTTACACTACGACGAAGATATACTGCGTTTGCGATACGCCTTAATATTGTATCACAGTTAGATGTGTATACTGCTGTTGTGATTATGGCTCTATCATTACCTACATTTAGTTTTTCATCAGCACAGCCTACACACATACCAAGTGTAAATGAATGAGCACAAGATGCATTCTGATAGAACTACCCACAATGAAATTGCTTATCTATGATTATCTATGATTATATTTTGCTAAAATGATAAACAATATATGACATAGTTTCTTTCTCTAAAAACATATTCAGAATTTATGTAAGCTGAAAGAGATGAAACTCACTACATATTATTCTAAGTACGAAGAGTACTTCATGCCATAATTATGTTTACTTTACTTTATGTATAAGGTCACGTAATTTGCCACAAACTTATTATACCATGGTATGTGTATTATAATTACAGATTAAAAAGTACAGAAAATAATGCAATTCTTTCTGATAAATAATTTCATCACATCCGTCTCTTACACACTTCGTTGTGGTGCACAGTAATGTAATAATCGTGAAATCGACGGATATAAGGGCTTTCAGTGTATACTGTAATCGCACATGAGG